ATCACGAAAATTCGCAAATTGTTTTAAGCTAGAAATTCATAAAAATTTTCTTTTTAAATCTAAGATTTGAAAATTTTTAATAATCTATAATATATTCTAGACAGATAAACCGTCTTCGCTCAGAATTGTTTTTCGTATACAATGATATAATTTCATTGGATTCAAATTTAATTCCACCCATTACAGTAAACCACTTGTACAGCAGAACGACATCTACTTCCCGGCTTTTTTCCTTTAACAATACATATTTTTTTCAAATTCTGATTTGTATAGTTTTTAAGTACTTATATATAGTCTATACTTAGGACCATGTTTTTAATTTTACAAATTTCTTATATTCATATAATATAATTTATTAATGGCTATTAGAAGATGATATACATTGTGCAATGTAAGTAAAATTGTAGTATTTTTTGATTTAAAAATTATTACTAATTCCCCAAATTATGAATTCTTCGACAGTCATAAGTCGACACTAAAAGTAAGTAGSTAGATACATTAAATATTAATGTTTTGCACATTTATTAATTATTATATTTAAGRCAAAACTTAATTTACTTAGAGAATAAGGCGGCAGGTAATTAACGATTGTTATTAGGTTGATAAAAATTATTTTTTATAATTATTTTGAACCATACCACGACCTAACACAATATTATATGATTTGTTTGTTAATTAACGTAATTTTTAAATTAAAATATTATATTATAGACAACAATTATTGCAATATAGGAATACAATACATATATAATATACATAGTGTGATGTTTAACGTTAAAATAAATACATTTTAGATAAATTAATTTAATTAGTCATACTCGTACCTATATGTCCATTATAGTTTTCAAAATTTGGTGAAATATATTTTGTATACAAAAATAAATAAATTTTCTTTCGAAATATTGTACACCTAAAACTAATTTCTTATAAGATACAATAAAATTATGCACGCGTATAATATTATATTATATACATCGCGACACGGGAACAAAAATAATTAGAGTAACGTAATTATTTACGACAACCGTCCGTGTGTCGGGGCCCGTGACGTGACGATAATAATATTACAATATTTAAAACGATATTATCGTGCGTAACATTTCGATACACTTATTTTTGCTGTCTCAGGTACCCTAGCTGAAAGTGTATGCATAATAATATGCCTGTAGCGTTATTCTTTCGCGAATCAGCGGATTATTGCCGTTTAGGTGCATTTGCCGTTTTACGGTTATACTATTATTATTTATGTAGCTATATTATTTTCATCTAACTTGACTCAAATTAAAAAAAAAAAACCTCGGTTAAATTTTTCTTAGAACCTGTGAGAGGATGGTATACCCACACCACCACCTATATTATATATACACCAATACCCATACGTTATTATATTGCTGGGCATCATTATATGATTATATATTTTGCGGTCTGTCATTACTCGCCCATATGAGAATAATATCGGGATTCGTCTGCGGAAAAAAAACACACACACATGTCCGCCGCACACGGAATTCCAGCGAGGTCCGGGGGGGACTCGCCGCATCTGCCGAAGGATTGGTGACCCCGGTCACATGTATTATGCCTATATTATACCTATCGCAATATACAAAGCGTGTGCAACAAGTATTTTATAATTATTTMTACTATATTTATTGTCGTAAGCGCTATATTATTATTATTATATTACGGTCGTTTGTCGTTTTTACGGTGTATTTTATCATATTACATTATATACACACATGAAACGTCGTCAAAGGGTTGAGGCGAATAGTGGTCGTCGGGAGACGTGTTCGAATTTATTACTCATTAGTCGTYACTCGTTATTACTTGTTATTATTTTACGACCCCACGCCATTGCAGTAACGACCATAATAAGCATAAAATAAATACATGGTTCGTGCACCCCGCGATCGGCAGATAACCGCGGTATACGTCGTCGGATCTGCATTATAATAACAGTGGACATTATAAGTATGGTAAAGGTACCTAGGTATGTAAAGGATGCATTTCACTTACCGGCGGTCCAAAGCAATGCAGCTGCGAATTTAACGAGCATTGTTACTATTAAATGTGTTTGTGGCTGTTCAAAGACCGTGATGTTGTATGATCGGACTCTGGAGGATAAAACAAAAAAAAAAACAACAGCAACAGCGTACTGTCCTCGCGAAACGATATGTGCTGGATTTGTGAAGTCGTTTTCGATTTTCCAGTTGTTCCGTTTGATTTCTCAGTGCGACTTGACGAGAAAACGATATTGTCGGGTATGTATGAATAATCGTATGAAATGTGTGACGGATATTAGAATACGCGGACCACGCGGTACAGACGTATTGCAGCTAACGCAGACGCCGATTGTCTGTGAAGCRTGAAGTAGACCGGGAGCCGGGGAGCCCAACTCGTGTCGTTGCACTGGAGCAAGTCTTAGCGTGCACGCGCTCCCTGGCGGCGGTCGACAGAGTCGGTGGCGCGCGCGCGCTCCGTTATTGTAATCATTTATAATAATAATATAATATAAATTATTATTTATAAGTACCTATATAATAATTATTCTYTATACAATATACGATATATACGTAAATATATCATAAAATAATGCATCGCRTTAAATAATTATTGTATTTTCGAGTATTGTTATTGCAATTATTAATTAGTGGGTAATTATTACCATCGTCGTCGCCGCCGTCGCTGCCGCTAACGCCGTCTGACGAATCCGGTTTTTTGCACGCATATTATACTTAATAACTAACTACTATACGACATTTACCCGGACATGCACCAGAATTTTTTATTAACAATGTCACCTCAACACGCACATTTCTTTCCACAGAAATCTCTAATTATACTCTACGCGTTGCTAGAAAGAATTGAAATCAGACAAAATTATATCAAGTTGTTTCCAATGACATTAATATAGCACCTTGCTTGTATAGGTACATCCATTTAAAATAAAGGTAAATATAGTTAACAATACAATTTATATAATTGTATTGTTTTATACTTTATAGTCATACTAGTATTATAAAATGTTATGTTTAAAAATAAAAATAATATTTCAAAGATATTCAAATAAATTATCTAATATTTAGGTGATAAATGATTTATGATAATATGTAGGTACATTTAAAAATAATAATAATAATAAAATTATGAACTTTGTATGACATTTTACTTTTCGAAATCTTGTAATCGCTTCACACTTGTTTATAATTGAACAATACCAATAATTTATAATAAACAACTAAACATTTAGATGTACATTTGAACCATAATATGAAAAATATTCAAATGACATATTTCAAAATTTACAACTAGTTTTCACGCTTGTGTATACGTAGTACGTATGTGCGAGCGCTCGTGTGTGTGTAGTACAACTATATGTAACTACAACTCTTGTCTTCATCTATTCAAGAAAGCGGTTATATCATAAAAACACTCAATTCATGCTCAGTATAGATGACGAGATGGTACCAAATATATTATACATATTTTTTTACATATGCGCTGTGCAGGATAGTACCTACCTGTGATGATTTGTACAGGCCTATTGTAGTATGTTCAGAGAGAACGCACCGCAGGCCGACCAAAATAGATTATTCTTTGTATCCCAACGTGATACCCTGCCATAGAGGAACCGGTTTCAATGACATTGKGGCACGGCATGAGGAGGGGGGGAGAAATGGAGTGTTCTTTCGCTGGACAAAGTTTAAATGTTTTCACATGGCCCTCTGCACTTTTGCAGTTGCTGGTACAATGAGATTTGTATAAACTTTAATGGTTAAGTTTAAGTTTATTATGATATAACTTTTTTTTGCGTAACCGCAACATGCATAAGGGTTTACCACTTTCGTAAGAATTGCCCTTTCTATATATAGGTACCTAATAATATTCAGGAAGTACTGAGTTAATGTACGCTTTAATTTTTGATTACCCAACAATTAACATATTAGGTGTTTAAAAAGCATTTGGAATATTTTCTTGTATATACATATTTCATTATTATTATACCAGTATCAAGTATTAAAGTGGTAATAGTGGTATGATTTTATTCCATTTTTGCTAGGGGTGACATGTCACCCATTGCACTCCCTGAAAGGCGCCCCTGGTGGTATCTATTTATTTTTTGTAAATTAATATTATAGGATTATAATACACTCATAAGTCTGTGGCTGAGGTTTGCTGAGAGCATTGTGCAATGTGCATAAAGTGATTTTGAATTTATAACGGTATTTATTAGTTAACTATGTACACGCCCATTTCGTGCATTTATAATAAGTTATTACTTATTAGTGTGCAAAATAGTTATGTAATAAAAWTATTTATGATATTGTATTACATACGTAGTGGTACGTTCGAGCCAGTTACTACAAAACTAGAGCCTCAGTGTTATTATTCTTATAATAGGGCATWATATGAACCCTAATTTAAGTTCTTTTTTAGTAATTTACTCTTGTTATTGTACTATAAATTTAGAGTCGATCAATTATCAATAAATAGTGCTAACATGATGTTTATGATATAAAATTATAAAATAAATTTACATATCTTTTAAAATTTWAAAAAAAAATAGGGAAATAAGATACTGATTATCGATACTACCAATCCTCTCGATATTGCATCACTGACTTCCGAGCACCATCCAAAAAATAGTGTTGCATTTTGCTCACTTCAATATTAAACTGGTTTAACAATTTCCTATTTTACTGAAATGTATTATAGGTATAAATTATATGTATTATATAATATTATTATGTTGCCTATGTTGGATTTTCAATTCGAAAAATTACGTTATTATATGACYTGTAATAGTATAATATATAGAACCTTTCCTCATCCGTTTGTTGAAACTAAAAGATTTTCATAGTAATTTTTTTGGTAAATTTCATATTTTTTGGTTAACGATTTCTCGGTTGTGGTGAGTTTATTCGATACAGCGTTTCAATAACCACCAGCTATATTCTAGCTATTTAATATTTTGTTTTGTTATACAACCTATTATATTTTCCCCCTGGATGCGAATAAAATCGTTTTTTTATATCTAGGTATGTATTATTTATTATTTATATGAAATGGGCTGACAATAAAATAGGAATCAGTGTTGTAACTATATCTATTAGTCCATTACCCTAATTATGTATTATGTACTGCAATGATGCCGTTGGAAAATCGGTTTTGTTATATTTTCTATGGACATCTTTCACAACCGTTATTTGATAATATTATACTATAGTCTGTAATGCACGTGTCACGTATGTCATTGATATAATATTATTATGTTTATAAAATATTTCGGGTTGAATATCCTGCACGCGGACGAATAATCAATCTTATCGTACCTATTTCATTATCAAAATTATTTATTTTCTATATTTATATTATTTAATATTGATTTTAGTTTATATATTAAACTGAAAAGACTATTAAAAGTACACGGGATTGATAATAAAATAATAAAGTATTTAAAACACGTGGTATACTAACTATTGTCTGTTATCTGCTATAATTGAGAGTTAAACCGAAGTGCTTACTATTTAAGTAAAAATTGTTTAAAAATATACCTATATAATATTAAATCTATTGTAAATTATTATATTTTTATATATTGAAAGGCATATATTTTTTTTTATTTGTAAAAAAGTACGTAATTTTCTTTTATAACAATGAATGATAGCTATACCTAATGATTTTTACAATGATTTCATTTTTTTTTTTTACAACCTTTTTTGGTTGTTATAATTTATAACTTATTGTTAACATAAATATATTTTTGGATAAAATATTTCTGACCGATTTTTCATAAGGATTTCATTGGCATCGTTACTTATTAATAAAAATATATATTCACGATTCAAAGATTTTCCTTGTAGAGAAAAAATATCAAGTGGCGTGCCATGGTTTCATTATTTAGTTTATTGAGGTCCAGACAGTGGCTTCAATTGTGAGATGCAATGGTGTACGTTTGTATTCCACATATTATTACATGTAAGTTATTTTACGTATTATAGCAATTTTTGATCGGTTTTATACCTATATTATTCAGTATGTATCACTTGTCTACATATTATATTGATTATGGGTTTATTTCGATTCTACGGAACCGTGTGAAATTATGAAATTCATTGAGAATTATTATACTTATCTACATTTCAAAAAACATTAGTAAATTATGATTTGTTATAGCTACTTATCAGACAGAGAGAAAGTATTTTACATGTTGAATACTGGAAATTGTTTTATTAAACTACCTAGTTAATTGTCGTAGGCCAAGTCTTACACAGTAAATTTTACAAATCAAAAATTTTACAAAGCAGATAGGTACTCACAATTTGATAAAATAACAGTAAATAAAAAATATTTTGCATAGACGTACTTAAGCATTTTATTATTTTATTAATTTGCAACAAGCCGAGATGCACATTCCATTTATAGGTAATCTGTTATCACACGTTTTTTTTTCGAGTTTAGGCCGTGTTTTAAACAATAGTTTATGATGATATATAAATTGTTTCTTTTGTGTTTAATACTACCATTTAATATTTTTCTATTACCCGATAAGTGGGTAGAATTTGAGTGATCTCTGATAATCCAATAATATACTTTTGTTGTTGGGTTTAATTAATTAGGTATACCTATTGTGAATTGTAATCGCACTCATATCCTATATTATAAAATCCTATAAATCAGATTTGACATTGTTAATTTTAATGTAGAAACTTTTAATATTTATTACGTATCTATTTATCTATTATACATTATCTACATGACTACATCATTATCTTAATATGATAGGTAATGATAATATTATTATCTGCRTAGCCAGTATATTATAGCTTATTTAAAAAAGCGTTGAGGTTAAATCCAGACGAATTAAAGGAAAAATTGCTGAAGACATTATATATATTTATAAATGACCCTGAAAATCAGACGTGTATAGCAGTAATAKCAGTAAGTACCCTCGTTCAGTCGCGCATATCGTATACCTAATAATATATCCTGATTTATAAAAGTCTATACAATTCAAAATTGAATTAAAATATCTAAGTATGTAACATAGAAATAATGAATATTATAATTTTGAAATAATATAATTGTTGAGCTGTAATAGTTTACGCTAGAAGGTATAATGATAAAAAAAAAAAAAATAATTGTTGTATACAAGTATACTTGCCACATATTTTTTTCAAACTTTAAAAATTGATATTATTTAAACGGTAAACGTATTATCTAAAGTCTAAACAACACGTTTGTTAAAATGGTAATTATAATTATTTTATGAAATTATAGCTTATAGAAATGGTATTACATATTATAATTGTAATTAGTATAGTAGTCTCAAACGTATTATTCCGCTCGATCTTTTACCAATTTGAACACCAATT